TTACCGGTTGAATATAGAACTGACTTGACCGTCGGAGTGCTTGCGGCCGCTCCCACCCCCTCCGGGAGAGGCCACGAGTGACTAACGACGTGCTACGTGTGCAGGAGGAGCTGACTCGAAGATCTATCATGTTGGCCACGTGTCCGAGCCATTTTTCGAGGTCAACATGTACCATATTGAGTTCTTTCCTTGGTTAGTTACACTAACTAGGAATCTTTTCTCATTTCCTAATTTAGGAGATTGTTTTCCTTTTCCTCACTCACGGTTGTACTATAAATAGGGCTGTATATTCTTTTATTCAAGATAAGAAAATAATTTTTCTTCATCATGCCATTAACCCTTTCTAAATGAACCCATGTGCAATAGTAGATGAAAAGATGCCAACATTAGATTGAATGAAACATGATTTGGGGAAAAACAGTTATCATACAGGACAGATCTTAAATTTCTTTTCTGTTTTACTGATGTCCAATCCATCTTAGGAAACATGCCATTAACCCTTTCAAAATGAACCCCTGTGCAATTGATTTTCGGCAAGATTTCACCCAAAGCAGGGAGAATAGTATCAATAACTTCCATGTGCAAATAGTGAGAATACAGGAACTTTTAAGTCGAATACCTACGCAAGTTTTTTAACAATGCAAAATGATATGCCAAAATTTCATGTGCCAATACACTGGATGATATAGTACTTGGAAGGATACTATTTTATCATCATAATATAATTCACTACCTATAAAAATGTGAAGATTGATTTTGTTTTAACATTGCACTTCATCGCATTAAGAAGGATAACAAAACCTCCATTGGTCATTTTCTCTTTCCAAGGGTCATGTTCTTCACTATATACTGCAGCTTCCCACAGCCATCTACTACGTGAGCTCAAAACCCTGTTCAGAGAAAGAAAAATGAATCAAGCTTTTATAATTGAGAAGAAAATGAAATGTCCCTAAGAAGAGCTGAACCACTCCATCAAAATGATGATTATTAGGAAACTTGAATAGAAAAGAAGAAAATATATATCACACAGTTCACGTAAAACTTATTATTAGGAAAAATATATAATGGAAGACAGTAAGTTTGGGCTCTAGAAATAGATATCTGTGACTGCTGACTTTCCAAATTGATTGGCATCTGCTAGTTGAGCAATACAATTATATGAAAGCCTTTTTTGCTGAATTTTGATATTCATGGAAAATTTTAGATCTCTTTTTCCTGTTCCAGAGCAGTAACATTCAAAAAAAATTGGTTTTTGACATAATTAGCATAGAAGAGACTTACCAACATGTTTAATAAACAGATGTAGTTAACTGAATTTCAAGAGGTCGTTCTCCGTCGCACTACTAAATCATCAGCAGAGTAATAATCAGCAAGGAGTCGGTACATGTATGAAGGATTGTGCCCACCTCTGCAATAATGACAAGCAGTGCATAAGAGATTTCATTTAAGAAGTGGTAGCTTCTCTAGGTCATTTATACTTCTTGATGACGTGAGCTTACGTGTCAGTAATGAATAAGCTAACAAGATTCGGTAGCACATAATCAAATGCAGGATTGACAACATGAAGAAGAGGTGAACCAGAGCCACATCCAAAATCCAAACAACCTGAAAATTCTCCAAAGTCCAGCAGCTCAGATGGGGACTTCAGCTCATTCAGTAAGACCTCTGGGTTATGCGGGTACAGAGGACACAGCTGTTTAATTGAAGAAAACTTTTGATAAAGCAGATGGAAATTGAACAATTTATTACCCTGCAAAGCTAGAGATGCACACAATATTCGGTGATGCTATGGACACTTGAGACAGTGGGTAAGTAGTGTTTCAATACAGTTGTCAACATTGACATCCCTAATGAGTTAATTTAGAACTCAGATAATGTCCGCACTTACCGAACACGATAGGTAACAAATCAGTGCATGACAAACTTTAAAATAAATTTTATGACAAACTTTAAAATAAATTTTTGGATACAACCTGTAGACTTCTGTTCACCCCCATACATTTCAAATCATGAAACCCTACACATTGCTACAGGCCTAAACCATCATCTCGATGTAAAATTTTGCTTGATTGATCTTTTTCTTGTCAACAAGTTGCTCTCCTTTTTATTCCTTTTAGGACATACAACGGCACTTAAAAATCATGAGTCTATAATGACTGCAATCATGATTATTGAGTAAATCAAACAGATACTACGCTATTTGGTTAACGACATATATTATGGCAATTTAAGACCGATTTTAAAGGAATGCTCCAAGTTGTAATTGAATACTATATTTCAAATATGCCAACATTTGCTCAATTGAAATTGTAACTTCTACCCCAAATACAGAGGACAATATACCATCGCAAAACTGCTTGCTGAAACCCAAGAGTTATTAAAATTATACAGGGAAAATGAAGGGCAGAAACAATATTATTCCGAGCTCAGTACATTTGAGGTAGAGAACTGAATAAAAGAGCAATGAAAGAGCTAAGAGATAGATGACAAAAACCGAGAACTCACTGTTATTGGAAAGCATTGAAGCTCTTATTACTTTGCCGAGTTTTGCTTTATTTGGACCAGTTACTCTCATTTGGAGACCTTGAATCCCTTACTTGAATACGGTTTTTTCTTGGCTGCTTTCTCAGAGGACTAATACCTGTCACGTCTTTATTTATCTGTTTCTAAGTATTGCTCACTTATTGTTACACCATGTTAATAGATTTTTATAGTGACAGAGAGGCAGGTTTGGAATGGGTTAAGCCGAACAGTGCAGCGGGATATCTATTGAAAAAAAAATTGTTGGTTTTAGCTCACAGAAATTGGTGAGGTATGGAAAATTGTGGTGTTGGCTATTTTATAGGTAGCTTGAACAGAAAGGAGCACCATATTTTTTTGAAGAAAGCGAGCTGCTTAGCTATTTATGGGAAAGAGCAAGGTTCTCCCGTTCTTGTGGTCTTATACATCAAAGGAATTCAAGGACTTTCCTTTATTTTACTTTCTGGTTGGAAGAATGTTATGCATTCTTGATTATATTTTTAAAATTGTTTTCTTATATTATAAGAGAATTCCTTCTCTTGATGTCTATATTCTTATATCATGATTAACAAAATTATACATTGATTATCCAGTAACAACATAATGAACAATGTTATTAACAAAGGAGGCTTATAGTTTAAAAGATTGTAGCGAGTAGATGGAAAATTAGTTAGCAGACTAGCACAAGAGGTTGTAAAAAAAGGAACCACAAAGATAGATTTCAGAAAACCACATAATATAAGTATCATAGTTCAATCTGGATGTTAAGAGAAGGCTATAGGAACATTCAGTAGAGATTAGTTTGCTAAGGCATAATATCTTCTTTTACATATTTAAGTTCTACTTTAATTCAAACTTAGATTTTAATACTTGTTTGGAGCTCAAAGTCGTAATCTCATGTAGCCTGAAAATTGAACAAATGATCATGATCCTCCTAGCAAAAAAAAATCAACTATGAGTACTGTAGCCACGTTCAATTTAATGCCAATTTCTTGCAACGTATTACTGTTCCAAGAGCTTTATTTCTCTAATGGAACAATCAATACAATTGACTTCAAGTTATATACCTCAAAAGTTAGGAGGGAATAGAGCCTATAATGCAGAAATACCTTGTGAACCCCAGCGAGTACAACAAAAGGGACAGCATGCCTTTGAGCTGGTAGGGCCACCATATTCAACCCCACTGGAGCTATAACCCCACCATTGGCCATGACAGCATGAGCTCCAACTATAACCTTTAGATAGGAATTTTGGATCAACAGCAAAATTAGTTCAGAAAATTTCAAACAGTTGAAAAGAAAAATCCTGCAATAGTCCCATACCATGTTGACTCGGGAAATCATTGCAAAAACTGCAGAATCAGTAATAACTGTGGTCAGTAGTCCCCTTGCAGCCAGTCCTTTTGCAAGAGCATGTCCCTGATATCTGATATGAACCATGCAACATGAAGAAATGGCATGAAGAGGAAAATCTTCAATAATGTGTAACCTTAACAAATTCCCTTTGTTTCAATTGACCAAGCAAATTCAACACCTTTGAGCTCCCTCGGCAACAAAAACTCGGAATGATCTCTTTTTCTCCTTCGCAGCGCATAGGAATTCCGTCACTGTTCTCGAGCTGCCTAAAGTCAAGATAACCTCACTGAATGCAATAGCCAGGATCAGATAGTGAAATTGGTTTGAATAACAAAATTATATCCCACAAAACATACACAGAAATATGTGAGAGTAGAGGAAAGGCTGGTATTCCTAGTCCCACAGATGCTTTATGATTGTATATACGAAGTGTATGAGAACTAGTGGGCTTCTTCTTTCTATATTCTTGTATCAAGGTTTGACCGTGAGTCGTAATCATTTTTGCTTTAGTTATGAAAGAGCTTACAAGACATATCCAAGATGAGGTCCTTGTCCATGTAATTTGCTTCTAGTTGTTGATAAGAACATGCGAGGATACATTGACGGTTCGAACCTTGGAGATTCATGAATCAAAAGTTTTAGCTCAAAGAGAACTAAGACAATTGAAGATAATATTTAAACGATACACAATAGTCCCTCTCTAAGAGCTTAAACTTTTGGATCAAATAGTGCGATATGGTAAAAGAGCACGCAAAGGTCCTAGTTAAGTCTTGTCATCAACATTTAATAAAATTGTACGTTTGTTAGGTTCTGATATTAATCCTTCCTACATGTGAGTGTCTCTCTCTAACAGCTTAAACTTTTAAAAGGAATTGTTAACAAAGACTATACATAAAGCATTATTTTAGACGTAGTAAGAATAAGGATGATAACTTAGTCATAATAAAGAAGCATGAGTCGCAGATAGTTATTATATTAAGGGTGTGTTTGACTGTATTTATTTTCCATGGGAAATGTCAGTTTTCCACCAAAATCCCTACTTCGCAGTGTTTGACTGCTAATTTTTTCATTGAAAATATTTTCCAACTTTTGAAAATATGTCTAATTTTTCTTACTTTTCAGGAACATATTTTCTTTCGGGGGGGTAGTTTTTATTTTCCTCAAAATAAGTAAAGCATTTTCTTTTCTAAGAGATATTTTCCATGCCAATCAAACACACTTTTAGTATTGAAGTTCAACTACTAATAGGGAATGACAAATTGAGAAGCTTATGTATCGCATAAGATGTAAACCGGTTGGAGGAGTACACACATCATTGGATTTTCTGAACTACTAACAGGGAATGTCAAATTGAGAAGCTTATGTATCACATAAGATGTAAACAGGTTGGATGAGTACACGTCACTGGATTTTTTGAGATTGGAAGACACCTATCAAGTTAAAAGACAAGTTCTAGACCAAACTAACTATGCTTTTATGATACTTTGTGTTGGGGCCATTAAAGGACAAAATGTCCCTAAGATCAATCCAATGTTAAAATAGATGTTTGGCATACTAGAATGGCTCAAATATGAAATTAGAATACATCTTAATGAGTGGAGATGGTACAAAACGAAAGTAAGTTAAGAGAAAAAAGACATGGGTGCTATGACATATCTTGTAAAGAATCTCCCATTCACAATAGTAATGCAATTTCAATGCAATAAGCTAGAAGAGGAAGAGAGAACCAAAACTTAAGTGCATGAAGATTGTAAAGTGTTAGACAAAGGACCTGGAGCTTCGAGAAGCTTCTTACCGTTTCTCTTCAACTAATTTTGATTCCCTTTCTGTTATCAATTAGTTAGAATGTTAGTTAGGAGCTTAGTTATTTTCTGGGGCCCTTTTTCCTTTCTTTTTGCCTATTTGTATGGCTATTGTAATTCTTCCTTTTTCAGTTGAATTGAATACAATTCTGTTCTTCTCCTTCCTCTCTCGAATTCCAATATGGTATCAGAGCACATTTCCGTTCTGTGCATCATAATCAAATTACAATGATGGAGTCGGCAGGATCAGAAGATATTGTAGGCATGCAGTCAGTAGTGAATAAATCTGCCATTGATGAACCCTCAAGTCCCTTCTTCCTTCACCATTCTGATAGCCCAGGATTAATACTTGTATCACAACAACTCACAGGAGAAAACTATGCCTCTTGGAGTCATGCAATGGTGATTGCGTTATCAGTGAAGAACAAAACCGGATTCATTGATGGAAGCATACCGAAGCCAGAAAGTGCTGATGCTGAAATGGTTAGCTCATGGGTTAGAAATAACAATATCGTTATCTCATGGATCCTAAACTCTATTTCAAAAGATATCTCAGCTAGTGTTATCTACGCAACTTCTGCATATGAAATATGGAATGACTTGAAGGATAGGTTCCAGCAGAAGAAAGGGCCTCGGATTTTGCAATTAAGGAAGGAATTAATGAATTTATCTCAGAGCCATGACACGGTGAGCGTGTACTTTACAAAGCTCAAGACAATCTGGGAAGAATTGAGTAACTCTCGCCCTAATTGCAGCTGTGGGATGTGCATTTGTGATGGTGTGAAACAGCTAAATGACCACTATCAGATGGAATACACAATGTCTTTTCTGATGGGATTGAGCGATTCTTTTTCGCAAGTCAGGGGATAGGGGACAGATTTTGCTTTCTGATCCATTACCCCCAATCAATAAAATTTTTGCTCTTATAACTCAGGAGGAAAATCAAAGGAAAATAACAAATGCTAATGCTGGAGATAATTCAGGTGATGCGGTTGCATTTGCCCTGAAGGTTGATAATAGCAGATCTGCTAATATCAATACGAGATATGGAAATACTGATTTCGGCAGATCAGGAGCTGGATCTACCAATTATGGCAATAATATGAGGTATGGGGCTGGTAGAAACTTCAAGAAGGACATAGCCTATTGCTCCTACTGCAAAATTCATGGGCACTCTGTTGACAAGTGCTACAAAATTCATGGTTACCCTCCTGGTTTTAGGATGAGGCCAAGAGATTCTTCTGGGCCGAACAATGTAAATCAGATCTCAGTTTCATCTCTTCATTCTGCTGATGGACAAAAGGATGATACAAAATAACAGCAGTCGGGTGTTGGAGTTGGAAGCTTTGTTCAGAATTTAAATCCTCATCAATACCAGCAATTAATGACAATGCTATCCAGTCACTTAGCCACCGGTACTAACATCAGTTCTACTGATGCACATGACAGTAGCCTTAATTCATATGCTGCAGGTAAATGCTACTCTATCTCAGTAGATTCTTCTCTATCATTCAGTAATGTTTGGATAATCGATTCAGGAGCTACTAAACATATATGTTCTACTACCGCAGCATTCACATCACTGAGAACCATTGAAAATTCGAATGTCACTTTACCAAATCACACACAGATCGCAGTTAAGCTGTGTAGTGATGTCAAACTGAGTTCAAATATTGTGCTGCATGATGTCTTGTTTGTGCCTCAGTTTAAATTCAACTTGATCTCTGTTAGTGCTTTGACGCTTGATTCAAAACTCACTATTAGCTTCTTTGATGATCACTTCGTTATTCAGGAACTCAGAACCAGGAAGATGATTGGCAGGGGTGACCGTGTACAAGATTTATACGTCCTTGACTTTAAAACTTTAAATTCTGTTTCAAATGCCTTTGTAAACCATGTTTCTGTGCATGTTTGGCACAATAGGTTAGGTCATCTTTCTTTTAAAAGATTAGATTGGTTGAAGGATCATTTACTTTGTGATGTTACTAAATCCAATAAACATCTGCCATGTTTCATTTTCCCACTTGCTAAGCAAAGGAGATTACCTTTTACATCAAATAATCATGTATCTGATCATCCCTTTGAGCTTATTCATGCTGATATTTAGGGACCATATCATGTTACCTCGCACACTGGTTATAGATTTTTCTTAACATTTGTTGATGACTCTTTTAGATTTACATGGATTTATATGCTGAAACATAAGTCTGATGTAAACTCTATCATTCCAAAGTTCTTTAGCATGGCGGCAACACAATTTAACACCAAAATAAAGGCATTGAGGTCAGATAATGCCCCTGAACTGGCCCTCACAGATTTCTTGGCAGAGAAAGGCACATTACATCAGTTTAGCTGTGTTGAGAGACCACAACAGAATTCGGTAGTAGAACGCAAACATCAGCATCTTCTAAATGTAGCAAGGGCCTTATACTTTCAATCAAGAGTTCCAATCAAATTCTGGACTGAGTGTGTATTAACAGCCACTTTTCTTATTAATAGAACCCCATCTCCTCTTTTGAAACATAAAACTCCTTATGAATTACTGTATAACAGACCTGCTGACTACTCTATGCTTAGGGTCTTTGGCTGTTTGGCTTTCTCTTCCACTCTAGCTGCTCATCGACACAAGTTTCAGCCAAGAGCCCGTCTCTGTGTATTTCTGGGATACCCACCAGAAGTCAAAGGCTACAAACTTTATGATGTAGCATCCAAACAGATTTTCATATCCAGAGACGTTACATTTCAAGAAAGCATATTTCCTTTCCATACAGTCAACAACTATACTCATCACATCGATCATTTTTCAAATCTTGTTTTACCTCAACTTCAGTTTTCACAGCCTGCAAACATCCATGACAATTCAATGCCAATTCCTTCTCATCTTGATTCTCCCTCACCAATTAGCCATCATTCATCACCCCACTTGGTCCCTCCTGATACTCTGCCATCTACTGATATTCACACATCATCCCAACCGGAATCTCATGAATCCCAGCTTGCTGATGACACAACACTCCTTGTCCCAGCCACTCAAGCTATTTCTAACAATGGGGTTAGAAAGTCACATAGACTCATCCATACTCCTAAATACCTCCAGGACTACCATTGTAATCTGATTTCTCAAACTTCTCATACTTCTCCTTCATCGCCTTATCACATTGCTCGTTTCCTGTCATACCATAAACTCTCTCCCAGTCACAAGCATTTAGTCTTAAATATTTCTTCTCATCTTGAGCCCTCTTTTTATCACCAAGCTGTTAAAAGTCCAGAGTGGCGTGATGCCATGAAGTTGGAACTTGATGCGATGGAACAAAACAACACATGGTCAGTTATGCCCCTACCATCCGGTAAGCAGTCTGTGGGTTGTAGATGGGTTTACAAGACTAAGTTCAAATCAGATGGCACAATTGAAAGACATAAGGCTCGACTTGTGGCTAAGGGGTACACTCAACAAGAGGGTCTTGATTTTTTTGATACATTCTCTCCAGTGGCTAAAATTGTAACAGTCAAAGTCCTTCTTGCACTTGCAGCTCATCATAACTGGACTCTAATTCAGCTTGATGTGAATAACGCCTTCTTGAATGGAGACTTGTTTGAGGAGGTATACATGGACCTTCCTCCTGGCTATCATGTTCCAGAGGTTACTAAACAAGAGGGAAAGCTCGTCTGTAGGCTCCACAAGTCCATCTATGGACTTAAGCAAGCTAGCCGGCAGTGGAATTTTAAGTTTTCTCAAGCACTTGTTCAGCATGGATTTGTTCAGTCCAAGGCTGATTACTCTCTGTTCACAAAAGGTTCAGGTGCTGACTTTGTGGCTTTACTGGTTTATGTAAATGACATTGTTATTACTGGCCCAAACTCACAGATTATTGACTCTCTGAAATCATTCCTACAGTCCCTCTTCAAGCTGAAAGATCTTGGTTGCTTGAAATATTTTTTGGGTATTGAGGTTGCTCGTTCCAAATCAGGGATCGTGATTTCTCAAAGACATTATACTCTCCAGTTGTTAGAAGATGCAGGCTATTTAGATTGTAAGCCAGTCACTACTCCTATGGATCCCAAAGTTTGTCTGAGCATTCATGAGGGGACCTACTGTCTAATGCCACACCTTACAGAAAGTTGGTTGGGAAATTGATCTATTTAACCATATCAAGGCCAGATATCACTTATGCAGTCCATAAATTGAGTCAATTTCTGTCTCAGCCTCGCATGCCACATCTTAAGGCAGTGCACCATCTTCTCCGGTATTTGAAGAGTAGCCCTGGTCAAGGATTGTTCTTTCCAGCTTCTCCCTCTTCTCCCATCACGTTGAAAGCCTTCTCCGATGCTGATTGGGGATCTTGTGTTGACACCAGAAAATCCACGACAAGTTTCTGTATTTTTCTTGGAGATTCCCTGGTCTCTTGGAAGGCAAACGCCAAACTACAGTATCTCGCTCTTCGGCTGAAGCAGAATATCGAGCTCTTGCTGCCACCATTAGTGAGCTTCTTTGGATGGCTCAGTTGTTGAAAGATTTTCAGTCCCCTACCAACACTCCAACAGTTCTTTTTTGTCACAACCAGGCGGCAATCCAGATTGCCAATAATCCTATATTTCACGAACGAACCAAGCATATAGAAATTAACTGCCATTTCATTCGGGACAGGATTGCTTCCGGGAATGTTAAACTTCTTCCAATCAGGTCTAAACATCAACTTGCTGATGTCTTCACCAAGCCTCTTCAAGCTCCGGCCCTCTTATCCTTATTGTCCAAGATGTCTATCAAGAATATTCACAGTACATCTTGAGGGGGGAATGTTAGACAAAGGACCTGGAGCTTCGAGAAGCTTCTTACCGTTTCTCTTCAACTAATTTTGATTCCCTTTCTGTTATCAATTAGTTAGAATGTTAGTTAGGAGCTTAGTTATTTTCTGGCGCCCTTTTTCCTTTCTTTTTGCCTAATTGTATGGCTATTGTAATTCTTCCTTTTTCAGTTGAATTGAATACAATTATGTTCTTCTCCTTCCTCTCTCAAATTCCAATATAAAGGATTTGATTTCATTGGAAACTTTCATAAGACCTTCACGGTAACAATCGCAACAATGTGCACGATAGCTCCGAGGTGTATCATGCAACAACCAACCTTAAAAATTGCTCTTTCAATGCCTAACCACTTTAGCAATCATTAGAGGGAAGTGGAACATATTCAGCTATCGAAAACGATGCATACCATGAAGCAAAATAAATAATTCCAAATTTACCTAATTAAAATTGGCCAATTGATTATTATATTCCAGATCAATCACAAATATGTATTTAATAAAAATGATATAAATAATCATCTGTTAACATGTTTGCCCACCATACAACTCATATATGTCTATATATCTCAAACATTCGACGGTGCTCACCACATCACCTAAAATTTACTTGAGGCGAGCTCGATCAACAGGTTAAAGGTTTATGAAAATATTGGAATACATTACAGATTTAAGAATGAGTTTGTGAAGACTTCACATTTGGGAAAAAGGGGGGAAGAGAGAAATTTAACTCTTTCTGGTTCAGTTAAAAATATCACTTGACTATGCTGTCAATTGATTTCCACACAACAGGTGACAACCTCGTGACCACCTCTAGCAGTCTACATTCAGTTAGTTTATCAGATGGAAGTGTTGAAATGGGACATGTTTAACACGGATCAGAGGTTATAATGACGCGACTGTAAAACAATTAATTTAGGGGCAAATCGGACTATTAGAATGTTAAAAGAACAACAAAATCCACGTGGAATGTGACACTAAGGCTCCATTTAAAGAAAGACGTCATTGAGCCAACAACAAAGTTACTTATATAGACATGTTACGATATTGAGTCTTTTTACATTAAGAGAAAATATGATATCATTCCTTACCGCATTAACTAGAATATCACCGAATTCCAAATTGCAAATCTAGTCTTTGTTGGAAAGTTGAGCAGCATATAGCTGACTTTGGATGGAATTTTGAGTGGGACCCATTTGGCCATTTTGAAATATGAAAGTTGATTTGTATTCTTTTCCGTGAGTACATCGAAATCATATACTTGTCAAAAATGATGATCGGGTGAATGAGAAATTGAAACTCAAAGTGAGCCATGTGAAAGGAGTTTATGTTTGTGGGAAAACTAAAAATAAGGTTTGTCCCACATAAGAAGTGGATGAAATCTAAAACCACTTTATAAAAGATTGCACTTTAGAATGGTGTAATTATGTGTAGTATAGAGGCTCTCTCCACGTGCGCGCGCAGGGGGGTGCAAATCTTGGACCGAAATAGGCTTCGGACCTTGAACTTGTGTGCGAGCGCTACCTGCGTACACTAATATCAGACCAAAAGGAGCAAAATTGGCCATTTAGGAGTGTCCACGTTTTGCTACATTTTTTAATTTTTTTCAACAGACTTTTGGTTTTCCAAAACTGTTGAAACTCTTAAAACTCCTGTGGTAATTGCCTTGAAATGAATAGGCAAGTTAAAAGATCCAAAACTTTTATATATCTCGTTTTTTTCCATTTTTCAGTACACGAAATTCATCTGCATACAATTTGGGTCTGTCTTCAATTTTATTTTCTGTTTCTGTTTGTTTTGATGATATTGTTCGGGCACTCATCCAGTTCGCAAGAGTATAATTTGTGGTACTCAGATTGTGTTGCTTTGCCGTTGTATCCTGGAAAGCAGACGCTCATATCATACCTCAAGCACGTACGGTGAAGGGGCGAATCTATTTAAGGAAACTGTGTAGCACACAAGCCTCGGGTTAAGAGTTGTTTGCTTTTATTTAGTTTTAATTATCTATATTGCTCGTTTTTTTGCAAATTCATAGTTCTGCAATTTTTCTTTACGTTATCAGTTGTTAAAATCTGTTATGAAATGCAAATACGATATATGTAAATAAAGTGTTTAAGTATACTGTATTCAAACTGCTAATCCGGTATACATTCTGCAAATCCGATATCCAAGTAATTGAAACAATTATCCTACAGTCTTACCTAGAATCAACCGTGGCCATCGTTATAAAAATTCCCGATTGAGGCCCACCTCAAAGTGTGGCAGACAAAAATACCTCAAGGCACTGATTATGCGGCAGTGTTTGGAGTCGCACACGCCGAGGCTTGTGAGTCGTGCGCTCTTTAATTCTCCATACTTATTTACTTTGATTTTATTTAGGTATAGACCACAAAAACACCAAAAGTTCTAATTGACCACTGTTTTCTACGGCCCCACTAGTTATTACTAAAATATTAAAAAATAAAGGTTTATAATTGACCCACCTTAGGAATCAACTATAACAAAAACATTAAGCCCTTGTTTGGGCTCCATTAAGACAAAAATGCATTTTTTCAAAAATCATTTTCAACAACACATTTTTCAATAAAATAATATTATACGTAAACTTGAAATTTTTCTTTACTTTTTAACTACACATTTTCCAAAAAATTACTATTTCAAAATATATTTTTCCTAAAACCTCATTAAAATGAAAAATCGTGTATCTCGTGACCCACTTTGAAATAGCTCATTGCCCGTAGCTATTGCTAAAACATTAAAATTGTGTCTCTTGATTAACCTACCATGGGAATCAATTAGGCCTCGTCTGGGCCGGCTACAATTCAGATTGTAAGCCGTTTTTGGACCGTTGGCTCTCCAACGGTCCAATAATCAAATTTACCTATTACCCATAATTCCCTTTTCTACCCTTGTGTGGCGTGCAGAAGGCAGAAGCAAACAAAAATCACAAACCATCTCCTTTCCCAACCACCGTCTTCACTCTACCTTCCCCTTCACCCCTTCAACCTGCAATGGCCACTGCCGACCACACCAAGCCGATCAGCCACTGGAACCAACGAAATTGAGAACAAGAACATCACCAGCACTAGCAACTGCAATGGCTGAACGGTGCACTTCCACCAAACGCAACGGACTGCGCTTTTCCGAGACTTCGCCTGCGTGCTTCAAATCACCTGCGTGAAAGTCTTAATCGTACTCTAAACCGGCAGCCGACGTTCACCTTCTGCAGATCGAAGACGAAAATAGGAGAGGCAGCAGCTTCTGCACGGATTTCGAGTACGGGCCCTGCTGGTTCACCGGTCGCCGGATCCGGATGAAGCTGCAGCTTTTGCCGCTTCTACAGCTTCACTATTTCAGCCTTGTTCGCCCCAGTTACTGCTCCGACACGCCTGCACCCTGCATCTGCTAGCGACGACCTGCAGGGCTTCCATCGACACAGGTCATCGCCTCTCCTAGTCGTGCATAGGAGCTTCAATTGCTGCCATTTCAGCCTTCCTCTTCATCGTCGTAAGTAATCGAAGCTATTCAAAACCATGGATGAAGGCGCCGAACCAAATCCGGTAAGTGACCCATTACCATTTCACACAGACCACTGCCCTTTCATTGATCCAATTGCGTCATACAATGCACATTTTTGACTCGTGTAGGCTTTTAGCTTTCAAATCCCCTTGTTCTTTATTGAGCAATTACAAACTTATCAAGAATCAATTTCTTGTGGCGTTCAAACATTCGGGTTAAATTCATAAGTCGTGTAATTAAGAGGTCAACATATTGTCGACGATTGTGTTGGTTGCTTGGTTCATTAATTTTGGGTCGAGTCCGAAACCTCTATTTATTGGCTTTCTTGGGTTGGTTCTAATCTCGTTGTGGGTTGCGTAACTACTATTACTACGTGATTCTCATCAGTCCCCTTCACAGCCTGAACTGGATAATTGTCGGGTAGTGAATGTTGGGGAAAGGCAGTGAGTTATATAGGGTGGAAGAAGAAAATAATTTTTCAGACTTTTCCTTTTCTTTTACTATTTTTTTATTTTAATTGACTACGATTGTATAATCGTCTTATAGTTAAAATTTTTGTACTCAATATCACATTCAAATCGGGTGAGATTTTAACAGACTAGAGATTTACTGATGACAGAAATGAGGTTTAAGGACTTGTTTATTAAAAAATTAAAATTAAGAATTTGAGTTACCCTAAATCTAAATAAAGAGCAAAGTGTAAAAATCTGCTTAACTAATCATATATCTAATTACTAAGAAAAGAGCACTTAGAAGACAAAGTGTGACCTTCCCAGAGGATGCCAACTCAATCCACGACAACAAATTATTTCCCAGAAATTGAATACTCAAAACTACTTTGATATTATCTAACCATATCAACTTAAGTGCGAACAAACTTCCAACTGAAACACACATAGCATCAAGTAACTGAATTTTCACGTATGCTACTAAAGTTTCTTGGAACATACTTTTGGTGTATATGCTCAACTGCTTGTTCAGCAATCAGTTCATGGCAAGTAGAAATGTCTTGAATGAGCTCATTAACTGCCTCGATGACATTATGCTTGAGCTTCCGAGTCATCAAATTCTTATCAGCAGCTGACGGAAATATAGCAATAATCATCAATACGTAAGAAATTAAAACTCAACATCTTGAATATTTTATTTATTATTGCATGCTAAATCAAACTTAACCAAGAATACATCCTCAAGGACCTCAACCGTCATTAGCCACATTCATTGGGAAAAAACTAATGCTTAGATCCTACATCAATGAAAAACTCCAGACATTAACACATATCAAGGAACTGATTGTAGAAGATTCTAAATTATGAATGCTTAAGAGCATACATTTGCTTTTTCCTTCAGAATCACCACCAGAAGAAGATGTCTGAGGCACAGCTGTTAAGTGAGGCATGTCTTCAAGGAGAGTTTGCAAAGAAGGTGGTCTCAGGGTGTTTCTTGCAGCAGCAGCTACAGCAGCAGCCGAAAGAGCTGGATGATCGTCTTGATCCACATCATCTTCATTGTCACTTTCGGCTGACAAACTTAACCCGCCAACAGCAGCCGTAGTGAGAGAAAGATCTTCTTCTCGTATGAAATGTAGAACACGTCTCACAATATTACCAACAGCCAGCTCTGAAATCATAGATGCTACATTAACAAGTGAGTGAAACAGAAAGAACAGAGAAGGTAAAGGGAATTACTTGAGTTGAACATAGCTTCCGAATAATCCCCCAAAGAACAGTAATGTGTCAGTTTTTCTTTCAACCTTTTCCAATTGAACTTCAAGTGGCTTCAGTCAAGAGAAACCACTTTAGTTTCTTTCACTGATACTTTATGTCGTAATATCCTCCAATATTTGATCCAGACATCAATAACATGTTATCATCATCTTTTACGAGGCTTTATTTGGCAGTACTCTTCGTCATGATTGGTAATAGGGCAATCATAAAATGAATGAAAATAAAACCTATCTCAAACATGAGGTACACATTTAAAACTCTATGAACTATTTGACCCACGAAGGATTCTGGAATCCTGGTTTTTCGGTTATTCTAACATAATTTCTGCTAGTTCTCAAATCATCCAAAGTTATCCATGTTCAGTCGAGCCTTTGTTGTAGCTTATACATCAAAATTTGGTGATAATTCCATATTGTTCTACTACAAACATCCTCATTTCAGATTGTTGATTATGTCAGGTATGCCTCCTTAGTCTTTATCAATTCCACTTCAGTGGTCATCAAATGGCCTATGAAATATCCCCCACCTAATGAAATTCCCACCAATTTTCACATATGCAGAGACATAGGTAAAATCACTCCAGCCCCGTTCATACAAGTCAACAGATGCACAAAATTAACTCATTTGGTAAGCCATTCTAAAAAGTAAAATCTATAGAGTCAAATGTAACTTCAAAATTCATTTCAATCGATGTACTTGATGGAAATTTATCCCTTGTTTGGCCCCCATTAAAATATTAATACATTTTTCAATATTTTTTTCAACCACACATTCTCCAATAAAATAATATTACACATAAACCAAAAAAATTTCTGACGCTGGACAGAATAGTGATTATTCTGTAGGCTAGTTCTACCAGCAAATTCATAGAAAAGAACACAAGATTAATGCCGAAAAATACAGAGAAAACGTCTC